GAACAGGAGGGTAGGCCTCATACCAGAGGACTCTGAGGACATGTGGCACATCTATAACCTGATCCAAGAGGGCGACAGTCTTCGTGCGTCCACATTCCGCAAAGTAACCATCGAGTCGGGCACCGGTAGCACACAGACGAACAAAGTGCGCACAATGCTCACCATCTGTATAGAGTCGATAGAGTACGACACCCAGGGATGTGTACTGCGGGTGAAGGGAAAGAACATTGAGGAGAACCAGTACGTGAAGATGGGTCAGTACCACACCCTCGACATCGAACAGAACCGCAAGTTCACGCTCACCAAAGCCCACTGGGATAGTGTGGCTATCGAGCGCTTGGACATGGCCTGTGACCCGACACAGTCGGCCGATTTGGGCGCCGTTGTCATGAACGAGGGTATAGCTCATGTGTGTCTCGTGACCAGTAGTATGACGTTAGTCAGGGCTAAGATCGATATGAATATTCCTCGTAAGCGGAAAGGCTTTATATCCCAACACGAGAAGGGTCTCCAGAAGTTCTTTGACGCCGTTCTTCAAGCGATTCTACGGCACATGAACTTCGAGAGTGAGTAGCGTTTAAGATGTCTTTGATTGTATCATTGATTTGCCATTTTTACCTCTTATGTCCATTGTATGGATCAGTTGTCAAGTGTGTACTACTGGCCAGTCCGGGCTTCGTTAAGGACCAGTTCTATGACTACATGAATGGACAGGCCGTCAAGAATGACATCAAAGTGTTGGTCGAGAATAAGACTAAGTTTGTGTTATGTCACGCCTCCTCCGGGTTTAAACACTCACTTAAAGGTAGGTTTGACTCAAAATTTATTGTTCGGATACCCATTAATTGTCTTACCATTGAATACCATCAGAAGTACTGTCGGATCCGCTCTTACAGTCACGTCTGGCCGACACGAAAGCTGCGTCCGAAGTGAAGGCATTGCAGTCCTTCTACACAACCCTCCAGACCGAGCCCTGCAAAGCATTTTATGGCATCAAACACGTGGAGAGGGCTAACGAATGTCAAGCCATAGATTTGCTGCTAATCTCCGATAAATTGTTCCGGTATTATAGAAATGAATTGTTATTTGGTTCGAGTTATTAATGGCTGAATCCCTCCCCTCCCCCACGAGTAACAGGTGTGCGAACGTTGCGGAACGGAAGCGATTCGTGGCGTTAGTGGACAGCGTCCGTGAGAATGGCGGTGAAGTCAAGCTGTTCTCCAGTCTACACGTGTCCGGTGAACGTAAGGCTCAGCCCTCAACCACTTCTTTGTCCAGTTTTATTCATCTGTTTATTGTATGGTCTCTTCAGAGTTGGATCAGTTGACAGGAGTGGCCGCTATCTTACGCTTCCCGATGCAGGACTTGGACGACGAACCGGACGACAGTTCCGGTGAAGACGATTAGCAATGAATTGAAGGATTTGGACAAATGACTAAAAAAACGTTTAAATAAATTATATTTATTTTGAGATTAAATAAAAAGTAAATTATATTTTCATTTAATTAACTAATGGTTTGCAATAAAAAACTAAATCAAATAAAAGCACTGTTTTGTACTAAATTGAAAAAATTGAAACAAGTTTTCACTACAACCCCAACCCCTGCCATATATGTGGACGTGATTTGTGAAGAGCCCAGAGATGTCAACACCATTGTCAACACCATCGACAGCAACGGCGACACCATTGGTGACCAAAATGGCGGACTCGGCGGCGCTCAAGAAGGCCATGAAAGCCGTCACCGAATACAACCGTCAGCTGAATCAGGAGCGCCGGGAGGACAGGCGTCAGTGCATTGATCTGCAGACCTATACCATTAACCATCCGCTGGGTCTGGGCCTCCAAAACAAGAGTCTTCGTCGGAAGCGTCGCCGAATGGGTCGATACCCGATCGCACTCTTCCACAACCACTACCAGGACTGGTATATGAAGTACTCGAGCGAAGAGCTTAAGTACTTCCCGTTGAATACCGTTCTCTACGGACCCATCAGTGATGCCAACGCTTTGCCGCCTTTACTTCAGTCCTCTCTCGACGACACCATCGCTTCCGACTCTGACGTCGCATCCGATATGGGATCAGATGACGAGAGCTCTTGCAGTTGCGGCCCAAATGCCACGGAAGGCGACGCCAACGATATGGACGACAGTTCCGATAGCGACGACAGTCCGCCGCGACTCGAGCGACAGCAACAGCCCATCCCCTTAACGGCGGTGACGCCCAAGGCTTCGGTGGTTAAGCCGAACGCCGTCTGCAAAGTGTGCAAAATGTCGACCAAAGCGGGCGAAGAACTGCTGCACTGCTCGGACTGCGACAATAGCGGCCATCCGTCGTGTCTGGAGTTCACGGGAGAGATGATAGACGCCATACGTCTGTATCAGTGGCAGTGTATGGACTGCAAGACGTGTGTCCACTGCGGACAGCCTCACGACGAGGACCGCATGATGTTCTGCGATAAATGCGACAGAGGTTACCACACCTTCTGCGTCGGCCTCAAGACTATACCACACGGCCGGTGGGTCTGCCTGTTGTGCGCCAATTGTGGTGAATGCGGCGCTAAGATACCGGCGCCCGTCAACCAGAAGGGCGCGCACTGGCAGCACGAGGTGATCAAAATACTGTCCCCCACGGGAGAGACTATGACCAGACATCAGGTGCTCTGTCACGCCTGCTATAAGACACGAAAGCAGAGGAATAGTAATCAATAAAATGAGTCTTTCTCTCACCTCTCAGTTAAATAATTGAATTGAATTTCGTTTACAGTATTTATTAATTGAAAATAAGTTTCATTTGTTGTCTCATTTTTACAATGTATTTGTGTTTTTAGTCATTTATAATGTAATTATTAAATTCGCTGAAAATTAATTACTTTTTTAAATCATACTTCACTTGAATTTTAAAGACTTTAAAATCGACTTTTTTTGCTGAATAATAACGCTTTGAATAATTTTTACATCAAATATACTGTATATTATAATTGAAATAATAAATATTAAAATCGCTAATCAATTGGTGATATAATCCTAAAGTCTAAACAGTGGTCTCAAGACTTGCGGTGACCAGTGATGGCACCCAATCGCTGCAGTCGTTGCAGATGTGCTTCGAATAAGATTCGGTTGGACTCATAGTATATGGGATTG